TTTTGAGACAGAGTCTTGCTCTGTCGTCTAGGCTGGAGTGCAGTGGCACAATCTCAGCTCACTGCAGCCTCTGCCTCCCGGGTTCAAGCGATTCTTCTGCCTCAGCCTCCCAAGGAGCTGGGACTACAGGCACCTGCCACCACAAACAGCTGTTTTTTTTTGTATTTTTTATTAGAGACAGGGTTTCACCATATTAGTCAGGCTGGTCTGGAACTCGTGAACTCAGGTGATCTACCTGCCTTGGCCCCCCAAAGTGCTGGGATTACAGGCTGACTAGCTCTGTGACTTCAGCCAAGGGAGGGCCTCTCTGAATAACACGTCACAAAGGCCCCTTAGATTTGAGGTAAATTAAGTGACACTACGCCTACAAAGGGCCTGGTATCTAGTAGGTGCTCAAGAAATGTTAGCCAGTGCCCACTCCAGTTCTTCCCTGGCATTCCTTATAAGAAAACGTGAAAGGCCGGGCGTGGTAGCTCACGCCTGTAATTCCAGCACTTTGGGAGGCCGAGGCGGGTGGATCATCTTAGGTCGGGAGTCCGAGACCAGCCTGACCAACATGGAGAAACCCTGTCTCTAGTAAAAAATACAAAGTTAGCCAGGCGTGGTGGCAGATGCCTGTAATCCCAGTTACTGAGGAGGCTGAGACAGGAGAATCGCTTGAGCCCAGGAGGTGGACGTTGCAGTGAGCTGAGATCGCGCCATTGCATTCCAGCCTGGGCAACAAGAGCAAAACTCTGCCTCAAAAAAAAAAAAAGAAAGAAAGAAAACATGAAAGACTGACCACCCTTGGCTATTTGAATACCCCAGGCCTTGCTCTTATTTTTTTTCTTTTTCTTTTTTTTTGAGACAGAGTCTCACTCTATCGCCAGACACCAGGCTGGAGTGCAGTGGCACAATCTCGGCTCACTGCAACCTCCGCATCCCGGGTTCAAGCACTTCTCCTGCCTCAGCCTCCCAAGTAGCTGGGACTACAGGCACATGCCACCACACCCAGCTAATTTTTGTATTTTTAGTAGAGACGGGGTTTCACCATGTTGACCAGGATGGTCTCGATCTCTTGACCTGGTGATCTGCCCGCCTCTGCCTCCCAAAGTGCTGGGATTACAGGCTTGAGCCACTGCGCCCGGCCTGCTCTTATTTTTATATGTAAGAGGATTTCTTTCTTTCTTTTTTTTTTTTTTTTTTTGGACATAGAGTCTCACTCTGTTGCCCAAGCGTGAGCCACTGCGCCCGGCCAGCAATTTATTTTATTATTATTATTTTTGAGAGGGAATCTCACCCTGTCACCCAGACTGGAGCGCAGTGGCGCAATCTCAGCTCACTGCAACCTCTGCCTCCACAGTTCAAGGGACTCTTCTGCCTCAGCCTCCTGAGTAGCTGGGATTACAAACATGTGCCACCACACCCAGGTAATTTTTTTGTATTTTCAGTAGAGACGGGGTTTCACCATGTTGGCCAGGATGCTCTTGAACTCCTGACCGTAAGTAATCCACCGTCTTGGCCTCCCGAAGTGCTGGGATTACAGGTGTGAGCCACCGTGCCAAGCCCTTTCCTACCTTTCTTCCTTCTTTCCTCCGTCCTCCCTCTGGAAATATCATCTCTGTGAGCGGGAAGTGGGGGGCTTGACTATGGCTGGCACCTTGGCGTTCTGCACAAGTTTGCGGATGTGAGAACTAAGATTTCTGAGACTGCAACTGAAACCCCACCTGTTCCTTTTGCTAACGTAGCTTATGTTGGGTCTAGTTAGGGAATTACAGCTTTAACTCAGTCAATACCTATTTGCTGTCAACCCAAGCCTGATAATAGGTTGAGAATAATTTCTTTTTTTTTTTTTTTTTTTTT